TCGGTCTTAAAAGGAGTTTAACCTTGTTGGAAAGTATTGTGGCTAACTCGTAAATAAAGTTGCATTTGCCCTTCAAAGGATATGAGCTTGCGGTTTTCCATCTTCTATGAAACTGTTTTTGGTGAATGTGCTTTATACGTCACAGAAGCAAAAGTATCATGAGCATGCTTTGTGATTGTCCATCGTGATTTAAAATCCAATTTTTCTTTACATGACGCATGATGTTATTCACTTTATTAAGTGAATCGTGACCGCTTACCAGTTGCTGATCCACTTGTAAGGGTCTCAATGGGCTTTACCGTTAACCGTAAAACAGACCAAAACTTTAGCCGTTAGGCGTGAAAATTACAAATTTTAACCGTTAACCGTAAAACCTTGTTTTCACAAGCGACGCAAGCGCAAGCACAAGCGCAAGCACAAACGCAAGCAATAGGGATGACCCAAATTTACAGAATTCGACGTAAACACAAGCACAAGCAAAATCATCCGAATCTTCCGATATGTTTAGGCGCGAGGTAATCTGGATCCATTGTTTTCGTTGCCCAAACTTTACCACGTGTAGTAAATATCCTAGTCCTTGCGTTATGCCTGAGCGGTATTTCGTTTTCAATCGTTGCAGCGCAAACGCAAGCATAAGCCCAAGCACAAGAAAAAGGAAAAATTTGATCCTTGTGTTTGTGCTTGCGCTTGTGCTTAGACCTGCCTCAGGGGCGTTTTCACGGTGAAATAAGAATTATTGTGTTTGCGCTTGTGCTTGGGTCGCTAGTGAAAATCAGGCTTAAAAAAATTCTTGCTGTAAAACAATTTTGTGCTTTGTCTTGAGGCTTGAAAGCTATCTGAAGTTCTTAAAATAATATACAGTAATATCTTTTTCCGTCCTGGAATGGTCCTACAATGGTGATTAATTTACAAGATTTCTATTAACAGAAAGGGAAATAATTTAACCGTTAGCCGTAAAAACTACCAGGCACCCTACTGAGACCCTCACCGTGGATCGCCTGAAATGACGACCAGCGGTAAGAGAGTGGTAGAGTGGGTCTAAATCACGTTTCTCAGAAAATAAAAAGGTCCATTCACAACTCAATGAAAGAGAATTGGGCTTTTCACCTTTCGCGACGGAAAGAAGGATATTTTCCTCACACGAACGTACAAAAGTAATGAGATTGTGAAGCATCATGTCCAAAGCAAAGTCTTTTTCTCACATCTTTGCCACTAAAGACTAATGCAGAGGGATCGAACGCTTTGGCCGTCACGGTTATGCAATGAGAATATGTCTTGAGAAAAATAGAAGGAAACCAAAATCTTCCTTGTAGTAGTAGGTTCTGCATCTGCCGTTTTTTTCCCAGGGAAAACGTGTCCGTTTTAAGTGGTATCTTTAAGACGTCAAATGAAGCTCAAGTCACACCCAGGTTGGTCTCCTTTACGGGCTCAATTCAACTTTCCATTGAGCATTCCCGACCCGGGCCCCGACCTTTTCACATGGGAGTCCCCAGCGAGGGGTTTCTGCCTTCGTTCTCAGTGGCGGATTCAGACCTTGAGCTAGAGGGGTAGAGGCCGGGGGGGGGG